TAAATTACATTTGTTAATAATATCATTATATTATTAAAATAAATTTTATTATAGTCAAATCCCTCCCAAAATATTAAATATGTCAAAATCAGGATAACGGGAAAATAGATACAAAATTGAACAAATATTTTTAAAGAAAATGTTTAATGCATATGCAACTATTTTGCTTTAATATGACATATGTATTGTTGACACAGCAATATTTTTACAGTAAACCTCTCTCAGAATCGTTTTTTCGATATCAATGGTTTTCGATGCTTACAGATTTACATTATATTTCAATCTAAATTTTACAATCCTAATTTTCCACCTACAACAACAGTGGCTGCAAACACATTCGAAGTAATTTAATTGAAGACAGTTAAATGAAACTCTTATATTTTGCACTTATTCTTAATAATAGTGGTGGTACTAAAGATGGGAGTGGCCTCAGTTATAAGTTAAAATTTAGGTACATATAATACACAGGGTGATTTCATTTCATCAAAGAATGGTATAGAAAAAGTTTAGAAAAAGTATTAAGTAATCAGGAATCAGAGAAATTTAGTTTTAAAAAGGACTAAATTAAAAACTAAGTATGTATTTTAAAATGACATATTTGAAAAATTTTTAATAAATATATTAACCTAGCGTAAAATTCCTGATTTGGGATTTATGTGCAGATGTTTAAAATAGTCTTAGACCGTCCGTCCGTAAGAACCTGTTAATTTTATTACAAATTAATGTACTGATAATAAGATGTAGGTATTTTCGATGATACGACAAAATTAATTAACAATAATTAGATATTAAAAAAAAAATCAATATTAGAGTTAATGACTCAATTGTATGAGTAATTATGAATAATTTAGTGTTTATAATACATTTAGAAACCAGAAGCGATGCCTAAATTTTATTTAATTAGGCTATAAAACCTTGTACACAATTAAAATAATAGGTATCATTTACTTTTATGTTTAGGAGTAACATATTGAATGGCATATCTTACGGATAACAGTGACAATTACAAGAAGGTGGTAAAAGGTAAACGCTGTTCTTACCAAGTGTCTGAATGTTAATTCTCATGCCGAAAATAATAGTGGAAATATATGATATTATGATATTATGTACGTATAATTTGCAAAATATATTCGAAAAACATGAACGTTTTCTAATAAACAATTTGATGAATGTATAAGCATATCTGTTTAGTCCTACAATTATATACCCAATTAATGTAGTTACAGAATAAAATAAAGTACAAAACATGCAAATAAAATGTCTGGAAATACCTCAATTGTTCGATCAATTTAAAAGTATTATCAAGTCTAGATAAGGCAAATGTATGTTTTCTATTAAAAATTCTAGTCTATGGATATTTTGAACCGATTTACAATAAAAAAATAAAAAAAGCGTCCTAGGATAGAAGGGAATAGTGTAGCCACTCTCTTAAATAATTTAATATATACCGTAAACCATCGCTGACGAACAATCCAGGTCTACTTCATGTTCAGTCGATAATTATGCTTTTACAAAAATGATTTGTTTGAGCTATACACTATATAAAGGAACATATTTTATTCTTTACATACACATTTTCAAAAGAAATACCGTTTAAAATGTTAAACGTTAAAGTTTTTTTTAATTTGATTCATTTGCCTAGGACTCGTATTAAGTTTAATAAATACAACAAATTTAATTTAAAAAATACAATAAAAGTTATTGTTTTGTATTAATTTTGGAGTTAAGGTTTTCAATATTACAAACAAATAAATAAACTTTCACAGTATCATTATAGGTGATATGATGAGTAAGTAATTTATCATGAAATCAATACAACAAATAATCTGTAATTAAAAACTATTTTATTTTATCACTTATGATAAATGTATTACACAAATATTGTACAGACAAAAGTTGATTTTTAATGTCCTTTAATCTAACGGGGAGGGTGAACAGGAGTACCTGGATTATAAGGTGCATTAGAAATAGAGGGAGGGCCAGGGCCCTCGAAATGCGGATCATCAGGGAGATGAGATTTCGGTGGAGGGGAAAACGGTCCTTCGCCTATACCTTGTACTGACACCGGCATAAAAGAATAAATAATAACATACGAAACGATAAATTTTAACAGCATATTTGCAATAAATCCGAAATAGATACGCGAATAATACGATATTCTTAGGAGACACAAATTTAATTTTATGCTTTGATTTTAATATATTTCACTTAAACGTTACGGTCTTAACAATATATATTTAGTAATAGGTATGATTCCAGTTGCCAGTAATAATTGCTACACGTTACGTTATAGTAGTAGTCGACGGATTATCCAAATGTTCTTGCTTGAGGTTTAGATCGCCAAGTTTGTAAATTACCTATTCAACAAAAGTTGATTTGAATCAGACAAAATCAGTTATATTACAATAAAATTTAACGTTATTAAATGTTTAAATATAAAATATTGTACTATTGAAATCATTAAAATCATTGAAACACTATAATCCTACATTTAAGGTAGATTATTATGGTGTGATCACTTTCACTAGACTGTCTAAGATAAATTAATTGAAAAAATTACTGCAGTTAAAATTACCGCAGGTTCACTGCCTATTCGATACAGGATCAAAAATTACTTTTTTGTGTTTATTTTAATTTGAAAATTACTAAAATTATGGAAATTTTCACTTATTNAAAATAAATTTTATTATAGTCAAATCCCTCCCAAAAAATTAAATATGTCAAAATCAGGATAACGAGAAAATAAATACAAAATTGAACAAATATTTTTAAAGAGAATGTTTAATGCATATGCAACTATTTTGTTATAATATGTATTATATAGCATATGTATTGTTGACACAGCAATATTTTTCAGTAAACCTCTCTCAGAATCGTTTTTTCGATATCAACGGTTTTCGATTTTTACAGATTTACATTATATTTCAGCCTGAATTTTACATTCCTAATTTTCCACCTACAACAACAGTGGCTGCAAACACATTCGAAGTAATTTAATTGAAGACAGTTAAATGAAACTCTTATATTTTGCACTTATTCTTAATAATAGTGGTGGTACTAAAGATGGGAGTGGCCTCAGTTATAAGTTAAAATTTAGGTACATATAATACACAGGGTGATTTCATTTCATCAAAGAATGGTATATCTTTTCTTACAGATATATCATTGCTTGAAGAAAGACTCTTCTGAGTGAAGTTGATACCGACTGAAAGTAAATCGAAAAGGCCACAAAATAGTTATATTGTGATTTTTCGATTAATACATGGACGAACTATTTTCGTAGAGAACGTCGTCCTTGTTTTAATAAAATAATAAAATAGAGAAATTGTACGTTTATATTTTTTTTTAAGTGTTTTTATTTGAAACATGGCGTTAATAATCTAAAAAGTACCTTTGTGCTTACAGAAGAATTGGCACACATACAATTCGGAACGAGTTTATTAGAAAAAAACCGATAAATGTAGATAGATGATGTAATAGATCGATAGATGTAATACCGATAAATACTTCGATACGCTTGGAATCTAAATGTAGAAAAAGTTTTTTTTTCAAATAAAAGAATGATGACTAATTTCTGTACCGTTACTTCTACCAATCGTTGTCAACACTTTTTTCATGAATTTGCAAAAAAAAAATTAGAAGTATAAAAATGCTTACAGAAAAAAAATTGAAAAAAAAAATGGTGATTTGTAGATATAAATTTTACATAATTCAAGAAATTTTTTTTTAGGATCTACTTGTGAAATAAATAAAATGAGATTTGTTTTTAACTTTCAACGATTTTTTTTTTTAAATAATATACGCCCAGAAATGTGTAGTACACAGTGCCTCTGTTGTTTATCCAGGCCCAGATGAGATATACCTGATAACGATACTTAAGTTCTGAATGAATAATCGGTTTAACTACAAGGTCTTTTCGTTTAGATGACTTTTTGGTTGACAAGCTGTGCAAAATTTTAAGAAAATTTGTATCACTCATTGAGTCAAGTGTCTGTATTTAGTTTTATTTTCTGTATTCATTTAGTCATTACCACCACGACCAAATTTAACGTATACTTCATTTTGTGTGTCATATAATTCATCATTTTGTACGTAAAACCTATAGTAAATTTTTCCCAACTTTTTCGACTGGTGCTATAGGTTTAATATTGATGATTAGAGATGAATTATAAGTTAAGATTAGTAATTATAATCTGGCAGTTTGGTGATTTACTGTTGTGAAACCATGATACAAACCACAAATGGACATGAATTATGAGTGTTAATCAGTATTTTATTTCATTATAGTTTGCATAATTGTAAATATGAACTGCAGATAAATTATTGAATATCTATTTATATTATTTAAACGCATACTTAGGTATACGGAAAAAAAACTCCTACTGTATTTAATAAATAACTTTTAATGTTTTCAACATTCTTAGTTAGCGTTACTATTATCCAGGAATGTTGATATTTCATGCTTTAATATGAAATATAACACATTAGCTAAAGAGCATGGCTAATATAAACACTATGTGCATGTTAACAATGTACTGACATACATATCATTTTNTTTATTATATTGTTATATTATTAAAACATATTTATTTTATTATAAACGGTTTCATTTTTACTAAAGATTTTTGGTCTGATACTTGGTTATTATATTTTTTACACTAAAAATCATTCTAGTATTTTCAGAAAATTGTATAATGTATTTCATTAGTTCTTTATCATGATCGCTACGGTCAACATTAGACTTAAACCCAATACCTTCAAAAATTACTCTATTTATTACAACCTACACAAATGATATTTATGATAGTTATATTTAGGAAATAATTCATTATTGAGAAATATTAAGCATTAATAATCTTTTAAAATATTTGTATTTATCTGTTTGTAAGCTATAAACAAGTTTCATTAGTGTATTTTGTCGGTGTGAATAGATATCCTCCACTTCTAGGGTTAACAAATTAGGTATAATGTTGACTGTGAGGATCATGAACATGGACTCATGAAATATATTATACAATTTTATTTAAATACTAATATGGTTTTTTCTGTAGAAATTATAGTAATCAATTGTCAGACAACAAAAAAAAAAAAAAATGAAAAACGTTTTAAATTTTTTTTAAAATAGTATAATTGTCACTTATTACTTAAAGTAATTATAAATACTACCACTATGCATTTTAACAGTAAAAAAAGAAGACAGAGAAATTTACATAATTTTAGTGATTTTTCTATTAATATCCGTACAATTAGTACAATTTCTGATCCTATATTGAGTAGGCAGCGAACCTAGTGGCAATTTTAACTACTGTAATACTAGATATCATTACTATGTAGTTAAATATTATAAATACTACTTTAATCTATATTAATATTTATGTTATAAGTAACCGCTTGGTATTAAAATTAAATAAATAAATATTTAAAATTCTAATAAATTCAATTATAAAATTATTTCCTATCCTAAAAATTGAAAATAAAAACAAATTATTCGAAAAAAAATTCGACAATTTATATAAAATCAATTTATTTCATGGTTATATCCAGTGCTCGAAAACAAAAAAAAAAATTAATAACCGTTGTGCTATCGTGGTAATTCATTAGTAACTGACGAAATGATATCAACACTAAATGATTTTTAGATGTTACTATCACCAAAATAACGTTTTTTTTTTTCGTCATATTGAGAACGGAAATTTTTTTTTCACGTTTTTCATAAATAGAAATCCTTTCCCGTTCCACGTTTTTACATTTGAAAAATAACGCATTCCAAATTACGTTCCTATGAAAATAACACTTTCCTTCCAAACATAGTAATAAACAAAAGTGTTAATAATCATTAATAATGTTGATATTTTAAAAATTATGACTGTACAACATTCTAGTTTATAAGATTTAAATAAAATATAAGCTGTGATGATTGTGACTGCGACGCGTCTCAATATTATAGAAAATAACGACGCGGATTTTCAAACATTGTTGGTTAGTAATTTAGTCTTTGAAATTTGGAAAATATTTAATATTCGATTATTATATATTTCACGGATAGTGTTAACATTTGGATAATACAACATTTATATTAAATTAAAAATTATTATAATTATTATTATTATTAAACAATATGAATATATTTTTAACGAGTTATCTACTACTTTCCTTAATACTATCCTTTATTATTATATGGTGTGCTTCCATGACATTTCGAATTGCAAAAATTGCTAGATGATTTACACTTACACCGATTGGTATTACATTTTTCTTTACATGAACACTTTTTGTATCCTTCACCGACATTGGCAGATATTAGATTTGCAGTTTCTATAAATGTTATTTTGACATGTACTACCAAGTAATATATTGAATATTTAATGCTTGTATAATAAACGAGTTTATCACAAGTATCTCTTAAACAGTGTTACCATCCTACTAGCACACATATCAATTTAAAATATATTTTACGGGTGTCGCTCACATAGACACGCCCACGTAGCTACCATGGAGAAGTGGGAGTCGTCGGTGTGAGAGACCACGGAACGCTTAAGTTCACCATTCGCATCGAAATTAAATCAATTCTCTGAATTCGCCCAGTAAAAGCATACACAGTTTGCTCACTCGCTCCAACAATACCTTTTTTTCAAAACCTAAACAGTAGTTGCAGAT